TTGTGTATTTGTTTATTATCTATTGTTTACTGTTTACTATTTAATTTCATTCTGTTGTATTAATTCTTACTTACTTCTGAATTCGTTATATTACTTTTACTTCCATTATATTAATTCTTTCTGGTTTTCCTTAAGATATTAATAATAAATTTTTCTTCTTACTTTTTCGTACTTCTGTCTTTCTTTTGTACTTCGTATCACTACTAACTTCCGTTCTTTCTCTGATTTCTGTTTCGTTTATGATGTCATGTATAACCATTATATTACACAAGCTTCCATGTGATCCAGTTTGTTATTCCCATCGAGTTCACCTTTTGTGTAACCTTCTTGCATCTCGTGTAATTTCTTCAATTTTTTATTTTCTAAATATTTCTAAGTCTTTTTATAAGACCCTCTGTCCGGTTGATTAATTATCCTTTTACCTTGACTCTCTGTTCGATTAATTAATTATTCTTTTTCTTTCGGTAACTAATTTATCTGAATCATTTCCTTCCGTGATTTATTCATTTCGTATAATCTTCCTTTTCGGTCTGTAAATTATCCGAGTATTATTCTTTTCTCTTAATAAAATGATTATTTCTCTTTTATCATATGACTTTTCCTTGTGACCTTTTTACTATATATTGTTGATCATTTCCTTTTGTATTGCTATGTCTTGAATAATGAAATTGTTAACTTTATAACGCTATATTTTATAATATAGCATATACATTCATCATAACACAAACATGCACAATAATTTCATATTGATTAATTTAAATATTTAATTATTTGATTTAAATCTGACACAATAGATGAATTAACGCTTCGTTACTTTGAAATTTTTTTTAAGATCAGTCAATTACTCGCATTTATTGTATTGTGAATCTTTTTGAAATCAAACCTTAATTCAAAACTGGTCTAACCAGTTTAATTCGATCTGATTATCTGGTTTTATTCGGGTTTCTATATATCCGGATGCAACTGGGTTTGATTTTTAGCTTAGGCCTAAAACCGGTTTTCAAAAATAGAATCAGTTCCAATTTCTACCATAGGGTCAACAATTAATAAAAGTAATACAAGGCTTTGAGCATGAAGAAACTGGGCTTGAAAATCATAAACTGTTTAATGTTATTAGTGTGATGAATAAGTCACATATACTTATTCATTCATCTTCTAAGAATAGTACACATTATGTGATTTCATTCTATTAATCTTCTTGGAATTGTTGATCATTAGAAGCATTTTATTTATAGGTTATCAATTTTTTTTATAAATAATAAAATAATTTAATAAATAATTTTATTATAGGAAATGTATATGATGCTTGAGTATTTTCTCGCTCATCACTTTATAATAAATTTCTCTACATTCTGAATAATAAGTTTCAGATAGAACTTATATTATTGCTGATGCAGCATATGCTCTTAAAACATACTTAATAAAAGCATTTTCCAAATATTATATGCTATACCATGGAGAAGACATTTTAATAATGATTCTTTAGAGAAATATAAAATAAGATATTGAAAATAATGATATAAATAATAAAAGAGAAGAAATAGCAAATATTCAAAAAAGAGAATATTTGGCTGACCTTTTAATGCAATAATTATATTGCTTACTTTTTATTATTTTTACATAAAATTATTATATTATTATATATTAAAAATAATTAATTTCTTTAATGATAATTATAATTTTGTTAAAAACTGCTTAAAAAAATCTATTTATTCTTCATGTTATTTTTATTATACTTCTGAGGTGTGAATATATTGATCTTTTATAATTTTAGTTATAATTTAAGTTTGTTCTTTAATAAAAACTCGGATTTTTTCTATATTTGTCTTTTCATCTTTTTTTATCTTTTAATATTATTCTATAATTATAAAAAATAATTTGGTTAAGTAAATATTAATAATAAAAAATTGATTAATTAAATTTACTTTCTCTTCTTAGTTTTCAATAGTATTTTTACCTTTATATTTAATTCCACTAATTAAATCACTTGTAATAAATGCAGTGATACTTAAATCTTTGCTCAAATATTTACACATATCATTAAAAAACTTCCTGTCATTTTGAATAGCTTCTTCACCTGTGTTTGTAATTCTATCCTTTATATTTGATATTTCTGATGAATTAATACTTTTATACAATTTTTTAAAGTTGAACTTGCAAGATCTGAATTTTGAATAATAGAAATGATTCTATTTCACATTTTTTTTCTCTTAGATTTTTTACTTTTTGTAAAGCTTATTGATATTTTCTTACCTGTTCAATAAGCATTCTAATTTCTAATGATAATCATTGATTAATTGATTTACTAAATAGCTGACCAGAAATATCAAAAAATGGTGTAACTGATAACCATAGATTTGATTTATTAAGTAGTGAACTGAAAATATCAGCAGAAGAGGATGCAAGACTTGGTTCAATAACTGAGTCTATTGATTAATTGCTTGATTAGTAATTGTTTGATTAAATGATAAACTAAAAGTATTAATAAAAGTTGAACCTAGAGAATTAGGAGTAGAGACTAGAGTAGAACTTTATTTAAAAACTACAATTGAGTTGAAAAATGATGAATCATAATAATGATTAATAAAAGGAAATAAAGCCATCTAAAAAAATTTATTTATTTTATTATCTTTTATGATAAATAGCATATTTTATTATAAAAGAAATAATTGCTTTACTGCTTTTCATTTAAAGGACTATAAAAGTTAAACATCAGAATATGATTATCGAAATGATAAATTATTTGTTAAATTTGTAAAAGGAGAAATATCTGGACTTATAATATTTAATTAGGAATTTTTTTTTGAAATTTTTAAGACATAATAAAAATAGAAAGAAGTTAAAAATAGATTACTCAAGTATTGATTGCTATTTTTATTTCAATTGATTGTAAAGCGTGTATACCTTTAATGTAATTAGCTAATAATTGAGATAGAGGTACTTGAGAATGACCTTAGAGTACTTTTTGAAGAATATAACATTTCATATATAAAATATGAAAAAAATATTTCTTTTAGTTTCAAAAGATTCGCTCAAGTATGAATATCAGACTATATATAATTATAATATATTGAAGCCAGCAGTTAATAAAATAGAAAGGATAACAGTATTATTCAAAAGATCAAACTATTACTTTTGTCTCTATTTCTACCTCTACTATTACTATCACCTTCTATTTCATCCTTATTCAAAATAATATATACTTGTGAAAATAAGAAAAAAAATAGCTTTGTATTTATATGATAAGTTTCGTAAAATTACACATATTTTTTATTATAGATTATTAATATTATTTCTATTACAGACTAGGGAACGGTATCACCGTTGTGAAGTCCGGAGCTTAAGATCACGTGAATTAATTATGTCAATATCATTGAATATGTTATTACGTCTAATAAAAATAAATACAACACATTTTAGGGAGAATTTATTAAATCTATCGCTATATTGCGGGCAGTTTTTTTTTTAGGAAAATGTACCACAGTATTTATATATAGCTGATATTCATCGTCTCAAATGATAAGCGGGTAGACAAACGGACACAATGCATAGAAAGTAAATAGTCCTTCGCTAACGCTCCGGACTAATAAATACAGTTTCAAAAAAAGTGATGATTTCATCTTAGTAATAAAAATGTCAAAAGCACAATTTTGTTATGTCAAGACTGCTCTTTTGGCGACAAGACGTTAGAAGAGCTTAAAGGTGTTCAAAAAAATTGAAGAAAAATGTCGATTCAAAAAATAATACTTATAAATATAAGCTTAAATTTCCAAGATCCAGGAAATGGATTAGCAATATTTTGCCACCCAAAGTAATAAATCCATATCTAATAAAAAATCTTCTGGTTACATTTATCGGTTTGTCCTATTTATATTTGAAATAATTGATTGGTTTTATATGTTAAGAGAAAGAGAAATGATATCAAACCACTGATTTAGAATGGGCAATCGAATGCTGTAAAGGTAATTAAAAAGGAATTGTTTATTTATGTTTTTGTGTTATTGTTATGTACCTTTTCTATTCAATATATATTTTACGTTAGGCGAAGAAAGAAAGATGCAATAATGGTCGGTTATTTGCTAGAATATTATTTTGAAAACGCATTACATCACATTGGATTGGCATTATTTAGGTTTGTGATTCTTATCTCTAATTAAATAATTTGATAATAACATATACAAAGTTTTCGATTATTATGTAAAAGCGTTATTCTATAAAGAATGTTTTGCTGACAAAGAGCTTGGAACAGAGTATAAGTATCAGAAATAATTCCTGAACATAAACCAAGAAGAAATAAGATACAAGATTTTAAGGCTTTTAAACCGAATACAAGACTAGTTTCAGATAAAAATCATAAGCCAACGCTTCAGGTTATATTCGAATTTGTTGCTATTAAGTTACCAAGATATCTCACAGATTTTGTTGATAACTTTAATAATGATTTTTCGCCTCCTCCTATAGCATTACGTTAAGGGTCATTTCGTGAGTAAAATCTTGCTTAAAGTCTTAATAGTTCTTTTTATTCTTTAATAAATATAATAATTTTAGGTTACTGAATTTTACGGTTCATAATTTCCCAAAAACTTGAGTTAGTTATGATTAGAAATCAAATTTATTAAGACTTTTTAAAATATTCATTATTCCTAGAAGTTATGTAATATGTAGAGAAGATAAGAAATTATTAAGTCCATTTGTACAAGTGGTTAGGTATTGTTAACGTGTAATTCTTGCGAACTACAACTGTTAGACAGGGTGTCAGAGAGTTATTTCTTTTTAATGTACGTAGTAATCTTAAGGCTTTTACAAGTTTATTATCACAGCTAATTCAAGTAAAGGTTTCAAATCAAAGTTTATACGAGTATTTCACGATTAACAATTCTCGAAGTATCAAGTAATTATATTTTCAAGTAAGATGTTTATTGATAAGAATAGGAAATAGAAATAAAGA